AAGTGATGAGCATTGTATAGGATGTAATAGGTGCCAAGATTGTGTTGTGTTTCAGGATTGTGAATTTCAGGAGGCTCAAAAAATTCCAGTACACTGCATTTACAGAGGTTAAGTTAGGGATAGCTTTGTGAAGACAGCACCGTTAGAGGGAGAATAAAACAGATGAGGTGTATAAATCAAGGAAGTAAGACATGAAATAGATAGAGTTAGGGTAAAGATGCTTTTGTAGAGTGTGAAAATGAGAATACTGGGTTTACAAGGTTACACAATAGTAAAATATTAAGGCTACATAGAGACAAATTTAGTTAACATTCACATACCAATCTGTCATAGATTTGAATGTTTGGCTGCTTGCAATGAAGAAAATGAGAGGTTTACATAGAGTGTAAGTCTTTCATTATGTATACTGATACATTGATTTGTACTGGGGAGCACAAGATAATTAGGATTAGAACTTGCTTGCCAAGTATTAAATTATAGGACATTATAGAATATGTTGACAGTTTAGTGAATTACATAGCAGGATCCAAAGCTTAAGTGAAATATTATCGGGGTTATGCTGGAGCAGCTGGTAAGCTTTTGGAATATGTGGAATTGTTTCCAGAATAAGGACGAATTATATGCTTCTTAAATCACTCTTGGCAAATTCATATGCAACAAATATGAAGTTTTGAAATGTGGTTTTCTCAGTTAAAACCGACTTTTGCACACATATTAGATAAGTCTGCTTTATAACATGAGGCTCAATTGGGAAAATCACAGAGTAAGTTTATGCTGAGAAAATAAACAGACTAGCATGTGATGCCAAGGGTAACACAATATCTATTGTATACAAAGCAAAAATTCAGTGTGTACTTGCATAAACACTAGACAGTCACCTTCTGCAGAATCTGGAAATAAGTCAACAGGTTTATTCCCACAAGATGTCTTTCTGTTGATTTGTTCACTGTGATTACCAAGTAGAACTGATGTGAAACCAATGTCAGTTTTACCAAGAACAACTTGTTTACCACATGATTGGTGATTCTGCAGCAGACAGCATCTAGTTGTCCATGGGAATTTTGCTGCAACTTCACACAGTGTGTATAACAGGCCAACAACAGTGAGGTCCTTTACTTGCCAAGTAGGTGATATTTATATTAATATAGGAAGGTAAAAACATATATTATGCCTGCATATTACAGAAGTATTGGTTTCCAGCCCAACAATATGCTAATTTTTCTTATCTTTTTACATTTATGCATTAATACTTAAACAGCTTGTCTGGCTAAATAATTTACAAGAATAAATTAGCTGCATTAGTGATGTATATTCTTGGACTTCCTATACAAATATGGATTACTGTGGTGAGTAAAAGACATTTTAAAATGTCATACATATCAAGGAACATTTGGAATAGTGAGCAACAAGCTATTCATCTTGCTGCCCATTTAAAAAGACCAGCTTTAGTAATATTAAGCAGCCTTCCAGCTGAAAGCCTTAATAACTATTAAGCATCAATGGTTGCTTTATCCAACAGGTTCAGAATGAT